TCTCGACAGGTTGCGATACCCAAAAGCAATCAGGAAGGGTCCTAACTTGGCTGTCGAAATACTTTGAAAGGGGTAAAAAGAAGACTGTTAAGTGGGATATGTACGTAAACCATTTGTCATGTAAAAGGATCATGTGAAGAGTAGTATGTGAAAAAAGAAGCTGCCTATGTTTCATCCCTAAGCTGTAAACACAGACATCTTAACCCTACTGCTTTAAAATTCGCAGTAAGCCTGCTGCTACAGATACTGCTTGTATAAGAAAGACTGTTCTCACTAAGTAAACTGAAAAATCATAAAAACGGCAAAGGCAGAATTTCTTTTCGGAATGCTGAAACCAGGATACGAGGGGCAGCAGGATGAGCCCTGTACGTTCCCTCAGGCAATCATACAAAAGCCTCTCAATGCTACAACGGTGGGAAGCTGCACTAGGAGAAGAGCTGATCAAAAGTAGCACTAACCATAACAGCACCACTGTTCGCTTCGATGTGTATGACATCGCCAACTTCAATTTTTTGCTTCAGTATGGTGTCGTAGATTGCTGGGTCCAGTTTCAGCTGCTTGCTTCCTTTCACTGTTTTCAGAGAGATCAAAACGTGTGATATCGTCTGCAATAAAGAAATTCTTCAACATATGCAATACATTTTCCCGATAAGAAAATGAAATTATTGGCGATGCGCACCGATAGGACCCTTGCGATCATGCATTTTTGCAATATTTCGCGCTGCAATGAGATCGCTCGGAAACCCAATAGACAGAAATGTGTGATATGCTGATCCTCGAAGTCCGGGAAGCTAACAGCCTACGCCGTATCTGGACAAGAAATATTCCGTTGAAATATCAGCTTTCTAAATTTTCTGGCTCTTGATTTAACAATTTTCCTGCCAAAAATTTTCACGGGCGCACGTCACAACCACTCATGCCCGGGGCTGAGTTTATTAAATTTAAGTCGTACATTAGCTGGGAAAATTCGCTGAAAATTTTTCCTGGTTCCCAAGTTAACGGTTTTTGCGTCAGGAACTCTCACGAGGCTGTACGCGGCAATATCGCATACTCTGGGGGCTGAATTTAAAATCTTCGAATTCTATTTGGACAGGGAACACAACATCAAAATTTCAGCTTTCCAGCTTTTTTGGCTCCTGAGTTGTCGAATTTCCCGCCAAAACTTCCACCCCCTCATACACGGGACCCAGTCTCGCACGAGGGTTGGTACCGCGGTCCTACGGTGGCACTTGGCCGGGGAAGTCACTGGCAAAATTTTGGCGCCGGAGCTTGATTGGGTACCGAGTTGAAAAATCCAGATAGACACCCACATAAACACACACATACACACACCGGGGTCGTCACAATATGCGTATTTGCATATAAGCAAAAACGCATAACTAGCTTACGCTGTAGTAAAACAAACGATAGGTCGCGTTAGGATTACGAGATAAAACGGCATTTCTGGCGCTATCTCCACGTACTACGTTCCGCTCTCTGCCAATATTAATGTAAAAGAAACAGTAACATTTACCAAAAAATGAGAAACGAAATCACCCACAGTCACGAGAAGCCCCCAAATGGCAGAACAGTGTGGAAGAGCTGGGGAGGGAAGATAGCGTTAAGAATAGCGCAGCATAGACTATCCTATTTATGGTCAAAAATGAGTACAGTCAACGTAAAATACTTCAAGAAAAACGATGAAAAAGAGAAAAAAGCTCACACCTCGACTAGGACACCTAAGTTTTTAATGTAGACAGTTTCCGAATAAGGTGAATTTTCTGGAGCAATGCGGGGGGGAGGGGTTAACAGCACAGTACACTATCCCAATAATACCTAAAGTCCTTACTTTGCCGTAGCCACCTGTTGCTTTCTCGTTTTCTACCGGAACCAATTCAGTGACCTCGCCTTCGTACACTTCTTTCTTCTCCCTCACACGCAAACCTGAAATTTAAACCTTTCGCAACAAATGAGATAAAAAGATTTTGACCAAAAAAATGAATTTTGGTACACCAAAGAAACAATTCCTCTAATTTCTCGCAAAAATATGTTAACGTTCTTGTCTCCATTTTCAGCCTTATTTTAGACGGAAAATACGCAGCTGTAGCGGTCCGTAAGACAGTTCGAAGGCTAGCCGATTTTCGCCCGTTTATTTCGCTAAGCGTTGCGCTGCATGGATCAAACCGGTGGATGTTTTTTTCCGGAAAATCACAAAAGCCTTGCCTCGTCCTAACAATGTTTGCTTGTTCCGCCCTTTGCATCCACAAATACATGCTTTTTTGGGAAAGATGACGGATTTTCATCGGAATCAATATTGCTCTCAATTCTGTCCCTTCCCCTCACCCCCTCTTACCATGTTTTCCTTCTCCTGCCCTCTCTCCCCCCTCCCCCCGGGTCTTGCCGGACTTATCGTTCATAGAAAGGCGACTAAAGCTCAAATTACATAGCATAGAGAAAGTACCAATTGCACGGCGAAAATTTTCCATGAGTACTTCAGTTTTCTTCACTTCAGACGAATACACTTCTGAGCCAACCATCGGGCAAAATGGCATTTTATCGCCCAATTCTTGTGCCATTGCTAGGGCAATCGCCGTCTGAAAACTGGGATTTATTAGCAAACTCATAGTAGTTCAGTGACCGGAAACATTTGTTCCAACGTAACAGAAGTGGGGAAAGATGTTAGTGCTCGTAACCAAAATGGTATTCATTGTCTTTTTGTATAGATACAGCAACAGTTTTTCAAATATCACAGCAATTTTGTGTTTTTACTTATTCAAAGGCAAATTGGCCCTATGCACTTCTCGAGATTATGGTAGAACTGGCAAAACAGTAAACGATGCTTTTTATACCAGTAAACCAAAACGTGGAGATGGGCAAATTAACCGATTAAGAGTCAAAGAGAGAGAGAGAGCAAATGGACAAAGCGAATTACTGAATAATAGCCATATAAGTTGACTGTAGCATTCGGGTTCATTCCTGGAAGTCTAAGTAGCGAAGGTGCGATAGATTTACAGCATAAGAGAGAACAATATGAGAAAAGAAGGTAAGAGTGAGATAAGACATATAGTTTTACATGAACAATGAGGAGGTGATCAAAGCGGAAAATAAAGAAACGTGGCCATGACGGTAAGCGTAGAATCTGCTATCTGCAGCAACGAAATCGTGAAGGGATGTGCCAAAGGAGTAGCTGGTGAGAGGTGAAAAAAAGTGAAATAAACTAACATTTCTGAGTGATTCTAATGCCTACATAATATAGTGGTCCGTGTTAGCTAAGTTCACATTTGAGGATCCCTATCATTCAATTTTTCACATTTCCCATCCTACACAAGCCATTCCTCTCCCCTTCCACCCCCCCCCCCCTTTCTC